AAGATTGGGGTTGAGGGTCGAGCGCAAAAAAACCCACCTTGACAGGTGCAAGCGGAGGTCTCATGGGGGGTCAGAGAAGGTAAGGCCACTTCTCGGGCGCCCCATGGCTATGTACACCACCTTAAGTCCCTAAAGTCCTAGGACTTACAGTACTTCAGGGCCCCTAGGTGGTGCAAGATGTCCTCCATCAACAGTATACGGGATTATATAGGGCTTAGGGATTAGGGTTTAGGGTCCAAACTCCTCAAAGGGGGATTATATAGGGGACTACTGATTATAGGGCTTATTAAGGGGCAGTACTTGGAGGTCCATTGTACTTATAACCTTCTTAATAACTGTAGTTATAACCCAATTATATCTAGGGTAACCGTAGTTCTGGGACTTCTATTTAGGCTATAACTACAGTTACTAAGTAGGTTATAAGTACAATGGACCTCCAAGTAGGGGCCCTAACGTACCGCAACTCCTAGGACTTTAGGAACTGAAGGTGGTGCAAGATTTCCTCCATCAACAGTATTAGTGTCTCAGGCACAGCACTGCGTGTCTTGCAAGTAGATTGGCCCGGGCAGTGTGCTGACATCCAGCAGGAAAGCCTGATTGAACCGGAGCCAGCTCCAAAATGAGGGGTTTAGGGTTTAGGGTTTAGGGTTTAGGGTTTAGGAGGATTCCCGTATTGGTGTTAAATCGATTTTTTGCCGGATTTCTATGGATTTGCGGATTAGTTTTGGTAAGCAAGTATAAGGGTTGATTGTATGGACCGGCTAGGTTTTGGTTGCTTGTGTTGGGCTTCGAGCTTTTATAAACGAACCCTGGAAACCTGTCTCCCGCGGATCTATAGAGTCTTCTTGGGTTAAAGGATGAAGATTCCCAAAAAAGAGTGCGTCTTGGCAACCGAAGGGATACGCCGGGATTATGCGGGGTTCTTAGGAGTCGGGGGTTCTTAGGGGTCCTTGTTAGGGATCGTGGGTTCACAAGGGAAGGTTTTTTTTTACACTCCGGGTCACTGGGTTGTTGTTGGATATAAGTCTTTCATTTTCAGCCCGCAGAGAAATGGGGAACCAGTGTCGGGCCTATGTTGGGCAGCGCCAAGTTTGCTTCCATTGAGGCGTGCCTCTGCCTCTCCCTCTCTCTTTCTTTGTTTTCTCTTCTACAGAAAAGACTTTCTTGCTCTGCAGGTGTACGCACGCATGCCGCTGTTGGCCACTCCAAGTGGTTTGAGTGGGCCGGAGTTGGTTGGTGGCCTGCACGTCACCTTTTTGAGCAAGCAAGCGTGCTTGAACAAGGCCCCGTGCCAGCGCCTTGTGTTGTTTGTTTTCTTTCTGGGTATGTCTGGAAGGCAGGCGTCGACCGCCTTGACGGCAACATGCTGATGAGTGCCGCCGTTGCCCAGAGGTGGGATGCTCACAGATAGCGGAACTGCAGACAAGGAAAGCACTCCGTGTCCCAGGCTTGGGCTCTACAAGATGGGCGAGCGGTTCTATGCCCCTGCCCAAATCCGGGCTTTTCTGCCTTTCAACGGCGCAGCTGGATTGGAGACGCTCCTGGTCACTTGGTTCATCTTGGGTCTTGGCGTGTTACTTACCTATTGCTTACTTTCGACAATTACCTTTGGACTTTTGATCAAAGTCTCTACTTCTGAGATTCCCTTATGTGCTTGCAGGTCAAGGGCATGGTGCACATCAGCAACCAGCTATGTCGAGACGAGTTCCGCGTCCCAGAAAGCTGCTTCAAAATGCGGCAGGCGTGGGCTGTGTCCTATGTTCTGTCGTCTGTCAGCTTCGGACTCTAGGTTGGTGCTAGGCCAGAATCTCTGGTAGTACTTCAGAGCATGCTCTGCGACAGGAGCACGGCGCAGACGTGGTGCACAACATTTACATGTGCAAGACCACCAAGTCCGAGATGGCAAAGCCAGGCGCCCTTGTAGGTCATTGTTTTACGGATGCAGATTGTTGTGTTTGGAAGTTCGCGCTGTTGGCCAGGTCTGACTGCTTGTCTGCTGTCGACTCTGCGACTGCGCCTGTGCTGTGTTTGAAACAAAGCTGCCCGTCGTAGCCTAAGCCTAACTCGTGACGCATGGCGCTTCTGCACGTAGCTGTGTTGCCAAGTCGTGTTGCGCGTCATACCACGCTCGTGCAATTCCAAGACAAGGAAGCAGAAGCTTTGTTCAACAAGCTGGTCTCCGCCTGCGTCAAGACCACGCAGCAAGACCTGGCAGCGGCAAACACTGCCTTTTAGAAGGAGGCGGTTCGTGGCTCCTAGCTTCCCCAGGGTTTTGGCAGCTGCATAACGCAGGGGTGTAGGGTTTAGGGGTTTAGGGTATAGGGTTTTGCCTCGACTATTGTACTTCCCAGGACTCAAAGGACACAGGGTGGTGCAAGATTTCTTCCATCAACAGTATCTTTCCAGTATTCTATCAATGAAACTACGCACTTGATAATCCCCGAAGCTCTGTTCTAACTTCTGGGCTTCCCTATTTGTGAAGTTCTCGAAATTGCCCTTGTGGAAGCCCTAATCAAGATTGCCCAAGTCCCGCTGGGATCTCCCTAGATCCTTAGACTCCATCGGGGCCCCCAATCTTGAGAACTCCCTGAACCCGAGAATGCAGGCCAACATAAACATCCCCTCATACACCGTATGTATCCATGGTATGATGTCCCCCAAAAGTTTCCTACTAACTTTCCATGTGATTGGCCATTGAATTTTCCATTGTTCTAGCGGTTTAACCCTAAACCCTAAACCTTAAACAGGCGCCTAGAGCAACTCCCATTTAAGGCCGTGGCCCCCGGTTCCAGTGCCACGCGAGTGTGCAGGCAAATCTGGCAGTATTTATGGTTTAGGATGTACGAGTAAGTTTGGGGTGTAGGGTTAGGGTTCAGTGGTTTAGGGTTCAGGGGTTTAGGGTTTAGGGTGTAGGGGTCAAGGACTTAGGGTTCCCAATTTTCAGGTGTGGTCAGATGGTCATGAAAACTAATGTGAGTGGACCGGTTTCTTCATCACTACATACGCAGACAAGGAACCAACTCAGGCAGCAAAGATATGTTCATGCTTTACGTCAAGTTTTAGTCTGCAGCACCAGCACGATCCACCTTGGGTTGTTATGAAAGATTGCGCAAATTCCCAAACAGGTTGCTGCAAGGCATCGCAGACACATTAAAAGAGAATTCGCTAAGACATTCACCCTCGCAACATGGAACAGGTTAGGCACTTGCAAAATCCAACTTTGTCGATTTTGTGGGATGAAACCCTAGATCATTGCAGGCGTGAAGTTTTACGACTAAATCTGCCAGGGTCATGGCATGCCTTTGCGCAAAATTATGGGTTCAATCCTCGGTGGTATGGATGACACCCAAAACCATAATTCGGATTGTCTAGGCTCCAAAAACTGGAACCCGAAACCTACCCCTAACCCTAAACCCTAAACCCTAAACCCCTAAACCCCTAAACCTCAATTCTCCGTGGATCAGCAGTCGGAAGCAGGAATGGTAAAAAAAACCTTCTGAACGCAGAGCCCAAGCCCGGAATCCTACCCCTGAACGCTAAATTGAGTAGTATCTTATTTGGGGATACATTAGGGTAATGTTACCTCAATAATGGAGAATCAAATGGAAAAGAAAATAGAAAATGAAATGGACACTGGGATGATATAGGAGTTATTTGAGTAGTATTTTATTTGGGGTACTATGGTACCCAATATGGAGTAAGATTATATCCTCCTTTTGGGGTATAGTATTTTATATAAGGAATACTACCTTACTAGGTTCAACCACCAAAAAACGCTACTCAAATCCTGTTTCTTTTGACCCCTTTCCTTGACTTACTGAACGTCAAGAGGCGCGACCTTAAGCCTTGTAAGGGTTATAGGGATGCACGTTTATTTGTATATGGGTGGTTGTCAAAACGATGGTCCCTTTTTGGATCTCTATTATAATTCGTCACCTAATGTTTAGGGTACCCAAATAGGGACCATCATGTTGACAGCCACCCATATATTGAATCGCTATTACTCCGGAGGTTTAGGGTTTCGGCTTACATATATATATATATTGTTGTATGGGGTTTATATAGGGATAGTGTATGTATACTGATGTATACCGAGTTCAGAGTCTAGGATTCGTGTATGCAGGTTCATGGAACTTAACAGCTACTTACACATAGGGTTTTAGGGTTTAGGGTTTAGATGTTGCAGCCCTTCTTGTGGTTAAGTGTAGCCATTACAATGCAAGTTGGGGGCATGATAGGTAGGGGCCTGAGCCAACTTCTATGTCGCCTTCCCTTCTCATGACATTCCACGTAAAGCCTTAAACCCCGCGCAAACCCAAAACCCTAAGCCGGATGCCGGAATACATGTGACCTCCTTGAGGTTCCTACAGGAAGTTATCAAAGTCAGACCTCTTTTCCGGATGCCTACTTATTACTGACACTCGTCGGGTAACAGCAATGGTTCAAGATTACTAGAACAAGAGAATAGCGTGGACTACGCCAGGCTGGATTTGTTGTTTCGTTCTGAAAAGAGGGCCCCTAAACCCTAAACCCTAACCCTAAACCTTATGTGATAAGCATCCATGCGCTATAACGTGTTGAACGCGCTTTGAGGTACTCGACGGCAGCATGCGCGTGACGCCTTCAATGTGCAGGAGCTTGATGCGTTTATCAAATGAGTAGTATTTTATTTGGAGATACTATAGTACCCAATATAGAGTAAGATTATATCCTCCTTTTGGGGTATAGGCTTTATATCAGGAATATTATCTTACCGGGTTTAGCCACTAAAAAAACCGCTACTCAAATGATGTGAGGTGTCTGGGGTACACCTAACTTAACTCGCCATAAAAGATTCACCTTGTGCAGACGCTCCTCCCTCCTCAAATGAGCCGTAGTCTGAACTCCCTAAAGGGAGTTATATAGGGGAGTATTATAGGGACTATTTAGGGGGATACTAGGAGTTTAGACTACAGCTCAAATGAGTATTGAACAGGCTGCAGTTTGAAAGCTTCATCATCCGAGTGCCGCAATGGATGAACGTGCGGAAGAAGCCGATGTTTTGAAGGATGAGTTTCTGATAAGGCATGTCAAAGTTACATGACCAAGAAAAGCGCCGCTCAATTTGAAGCTCACAAAATGCAATTGCATCCAGCAAAAAAAGGGGCCAGCAACCAACGAGGTAGATAGTCAATCTTGCGCCCCTTTTCGTGTTCCCACGATTCTATGGCCCTCAATGCCGACAGTGCCCAAAACGGGACCATGATTTTGACAACCTCGCAAGTTCTACCTTAGAATCCCTATAGACCCCTGTAACAACCACTTCTCGTTTCATGTTCCATTATGATTCTGCAAAAATTGTTGGGTGCGAAGCAAGCTACCGCAAACCGTAAACTCCACATCCTACACCCTAAAACCCTAAGCCCTAAACCCCAAAACTTTGCAGCCCTCTCCAAATCCCTAGTCCGCAGCATGTTATCCGCATACATGACGGAAAGGTGCTCTTAGTAATTTCCCACACCATCCGCCATGTGCTCCTTGTAACCCCCACAATGCCTCCAGCTGAATCCTTGCAGTGGTTGTCATCAAGCCCTAAACCCTAAACCCCAAACCCTAAGCCCCAAAGCCTAAACCCCAAAGCCCAAACCCCAAACCCCAAGCCTCAAACCCCAAATCCCAAACCCTAAACCCCAAAACCGCGAGAAACTTCGAAGCTCAAAGCTCCCAAACCGTAAAATCCCAAATCTCGACGCCCGCATCCTAAACCCTAGGCTGGCGTAGGGTTTAGGGTTTAGGGGTTTAGGGTTTCAGGGGTTTAGTTTAGGGTTTAGGGGTTCAGGGTTTATGGCTTTAGGGATTTAGGGTTTAGTGGTTTAGCGGTTCAGGGTTTGGGGTTTAGGGGTTTAGGGGTTTAGGGTTTAGGGGTATAGGGGTTTAGGGCTTAGGGAACGTTGAGCCCCCAACCGCAAAACCTAAGCCCCAATGCCTAAACCGTTCTCACCAAAGGCTGTGTCGCTGATAAGGAGCTTGAATTAAGTTACCAGATTATGGGTGTTTAGTAACCAATAGGGTTTCCTTATTCTAGTAACCCCGAACCCTTAACTCTAAATCTTAAACCCTAAATACGAAACCTTAAACTCTAAACCCTATAAGCCCTAAACCCAGAAAAACCCTAAACCCTAAACCCTTTATAGTACCTTAATTAAGATTCCGTAACAGCTTTCCCCAAAGGAGCTCATTTTCGGAGATGCCCTTGCGCAACGAGACTTCAGCGACCCCTCTGTGGAAGGTCCGTGCAGGGTTGCATCCGCTGGGCTCAAGGTCTAGGCTTCAGGTTTAGGGTTTCAGGGTTTAGGGATTTAGGGTCTTGGGATTGGGGTTTAGGGTTAGGGTTTCAGGGTTTAGGGCTTCAGGGTTTAGGGTTTCAGGGTTAAGGGCTTTAGGGTTTAGGGCTTCAGGGTTTAGGGCTTCAGGGCTTAGGGTCTCAGGGTTTAGGGTTCGGGCTCCGTACAAAGAAATGGGCTCTCGAAAGATTGCAGTCTGGTTCTTCTAGCAAGGATGCTAGCATTTTGGAGGTATGAGGGAGGCCCCTATCGCGCAAACTCCTTAATCAGCGGCGCGTGGGGAGACTAGCAGGGGTATAGGTCCCTCCTTTAGCAACTGTTACGTAATCTAGCAGCTCTTGTTCTTATCCAGCACGTCCTTGCAGAAGAGGTAGCTTGAGGCTAGGGA